CAACCTGTCATCCACGTGGCTGGCCTTGTACGTAAGAGGTTATGAACAGGTGGAGCTTTCCTTACCTCCTTCCCTTTCCCTTTTTTCCTTTTCCTTTTTTCTTTTCCCTTTTTTGCGCTCTGATTCACAATGTGACAATATATATATATATATATATAAGTGTAACCAGTGAGGGGATTCTGCAGACTGTTGAGGGTTCAGCCTCCTGATGAGTCGGTGAAACTCCGACGAAACAGTTTGTCACAGCCCCTCGTTTGTTGTCCTCTTCTCTCTCTCTCTCTAGGGTTTACCGGGCAGTTCTGTTTGTGACGATATTTATATATATATGATATATCGTGCCGTGAGGGCACGGGTGCGCAGCCCGTAGTTTGTTTGTTGATGTGGTTGAGGAGGTGTAAGGTGGTGATTATGCTGTGTTTATGTTTTGTCATGTTCGCTATACACAACTCCAAGAGAGTATGTGTGTGGGGTCGCGGATGGTGCCTCCTCATTCACAATGTGCATGGGAGGCTGGACCCGTTTTCCAGCAGGTGCCGCTCCCCACTAATTGACAGGAGCATTCTGTCATAAGTCCACTATAGGGGGATGCTCATATCACCCCTCTAGTGGGCTGAAGAGGAACTTTGGGGGGGGGGGGACAAAAAAAAAAAATAGTGTGTGCTGGTCGCATGTGTATGCGTGAGTGAGTGAGTGTGGGTGCGTGTGTGTGTGTGTGTGTGTGTGTGTGTGTGTGTGAGAGAGAGAGAGAGAGAGAGAGAGAGAGAGAAGTTTCGATGTTTAGTTTTAAGTAAGTACTGTGAAGTTACGGTGTGTATTTATTTTTAATTAATTACTACTATGAAGTTTCGTCTCCACTGGAAAACTCTCTCCTTTGTCTAAATCTGTTTTGCGCGCCATCTATTGGTTGTTGTTGATCAGTGAGCATGTCGGTGATGGGTCCATTACAACAAAACAAAAAAATGATTTAAAAATCAAATTTTTTTCCCATTTTTCAATTATTATTTATTTTTATTTTACTTTTTTGTAGGCTACCAGCCGGGCCGCCCGGGTGACAATGTTTGCCCGGGCGGTCCGGCCGTGCAAGGGCCAAAGTAGGTCCCAGACAAAAAAAAAAATTAAAAAAAAAGAAAAAATCTGAAAAAAAAACTATGTTATGCAGAAAAATAAAGTGAACAACTTTAGCCTCAGGGTGACATCGAAATTCTTTCCCGGCTTTGATATCAACAAAGATAGATATTTTTCCAAAAAAAAAAAAAAAAAAAAGAAATCTTTACCATAATACCAAATAATTTAAATATATATATATATTTTGGCCCGGCCGGGCAAGTGGTCCCGGGCCGCTCTGGTAGCCTAGATTTTTTTTCAATTTTTCTTTTTTTTCCAATTTTTTATTTTCTTCAACGTTTTTTGTTTTTCCCAATGGAGCACGGATCAGATGGGTCCATTACAACATTATTTTTATCGATATTAATATTTTATAAAACATTATTATATCAAGATTATGAATCTTTTTTTTATGATTATCAAGATTTTTTTTTCCCTCTCCAAAAGCGGAATCCGGGTAATGGCCCCGGTATTCAACCTCAGCTCATGGCTTTGTTGTCATTGTACTTGGGACGCTGAGCCCGATTCCCAGCAGGTGCAGCCCCCCATCAGTAGACGGGGGCAATCAGTGATAGGCCTACTAGGGGAGGTTGCTCATGACAGCCCCCTTAGTAGGCTGAGGCTGGTGTGAAAAAAAAAAAAAAAAGAAACTGGTGTGAAAAGAAATAAAATGAAAAAAAAAAGACCCCAAGATTATGACCCCGTCAGTAGGGAGAGACATACATGGTGTTGATTTTGTGAGCTGCTCGGCAGTGGGTTCATTGCCCCAATAACAACGGCCATTTGCAGAGATGAAGAGTGGGGGAAGCAGGACAAAAAAAAAAAAAAAAAAAAAAAAAGGCAGCAGGTAGCCGTGACGGAAAGAATGAAGGAAAGCGAGGGAGGGCGTAAAAAGCACACTCATATTTTATTGGTTGCTTCTGCGTTTCCGGTAGAATCTATATATATCTGTATATATTTATATTAAATTATATAGACTGTTGAGGGTTCAGCCTCCTGATGAGTCGGTGAAACTCCGACGAAACAGTTTGTCACAGCCCCTCGTTTGTTGTCCTCTTCTCTCTCTCTGCCTACGGTTTACCGGGCAGTTCTGTTTGTGACGATATATATGATATACATCTGTTTGACGATATATATCGTCACAAACAGAACTGCCCGGTAAACCGTAGGCAGAGAGAGAGAAGAGGACAACAATATATATATAGCTTGGGTAGCCTACCTCGAGTTAAGTCTAGTGTCGATGGAGGCGCGTTCTACATGAGCGTTCAGAACCACTCTGTCACAGACTAAATCCCCCCATCCCCGCTCCTCTTCCCCCTTTTCACACACAAACCCTGTGCGGGGCTGGGAGGGGGGAAAGGGCGGGCGGGGGGAGGGGGGGGGGGGGGGAGGGGGGCGCAGGGGAGCGCAGGGAGGTGACAGGCTGTTACGTCGAGCTCTCACCGACTGTCAGAAGGTTAGGCTCAGCATTGTGCAGAATCAAGCTTTGAGCCATGATCTGCTTTGACGCAAAATTAAACCACATGGCCGGACTCCTCTCTCTCTCTCTCTCTCTCTCTCTCTCTCTCTCTCTCTCTCTCTCTCTCTCTCTCTCTCTCTCTCTGTGTGTGTGTGTGTGTGTGTGTGTGTGTGTGTGATCGAGTGTGTGAATACGATATCTGAGACTCCCTCTTGTGACTCCTAAATCGATCGCCGAGAGCGCTACTCCCCTCCTCTCCTTTTTCTTTTTTTTTCCGGCAGATTCTTCTATTTGGCTTCGCCTGCCAATGCTCAAAGTTTTTTTCAGTTTTTTCCAGAAAAAAATCCGTTTTTCCCCTTTTTTTAAAGGTAAGGCTCTTCTTGATCTCCTTTTTCTTTTTTCTTTTTTTTCCGTCGTCATTTTCCCTTCTTCGTTTTTAGCGGAGGAGGGCATAGTTTTTTTCCCCATTGCCCATTTGCTGCGTATCCCCTGCCCTCGAGATCGTTCCCTGATTCTTCTGGGTAATATCCCCTGCCCGCGAACTGTTTTATATCCATGCTTTTTCTTATTCCCCCTTTTTTTTAATAAAATTTTAAAGAAAAAAGAAATGGCAGATTAGACACAATATTGAATTTACCTGGGCTGGTTAGTCCGATGATAATACCTCAAGGTCATCGCCCCTCATAAAATTAAAAAAAAAAAAAAAAAAAAGTTGGACCATTTCTTGATTTATGCATTTTACCGAGGAACGACCGATGCTTTCAGGCTCAGGATAAAGAGATCTTTGAAGATTGCAGCAGAGAGACAGCGACAGAGAGAGAAAGAGAGAGAGAGAGACAGAGGGAGGGTGAGGGAGAGAGGGAGAGAGGGAGGGAGGGAGGGAGGGGAGGGAGAGGGAGGGAGAGGGAGGGAGGGGAAGAGCTCAGAGGTGCCTCTCCACGTGGAATGTATCTTACTCATAAACAGATCAAGAGTTCAGATGCTGCTGGACACAATAGCACTGACGGCTACTGTCTTCCCCTGAACGCACCCTCAATATGACTGTATCTGACCGGACTAATAGGTTATATACATTCACGATAAGCGATATTGTGAGCCCCTTCGTGCGCAGTCACTGTTTTTTTTTTTCTTTAATAAAAAAAGCCCATACTCAAGTCTCACGTGTGCAGCTTAGTGTTTCTTCCTCTTTCTTCCAAATGGGGGTAGAAAAAACAAAAAAAAAAACAAAAAAAAAGGTGCTTTTTTCCCCTTCCGTATGTTCGTGATCCTGAGAGGCACGCGCAGAAACCGACCCAAAAAAAAATGGAAAATTCTGAGAAAAAGGGAAGGAAAAAAAAAAACGACCGCAAAAAACATAAAAACATTGTTCTTACTGCGTGGAGCTGTCGAAGCCAAGAAACAGCGCATCTTCAGGAATGAGTGCGTCCGATGTCGCGGCCATCGGCGCGCTTTGCACTTTGTCGTTATCTACTTCCATCATCCTCTCAGCGACTGGTCCTCTATTTGCGGCACGTGCCCCCCTGCCACGTGGTTTTCGCTTATCCTTATCCTTATCACTCGATCGCCATTTGTTGACGTCACTCGATTTCCGTTTGTCCACGTCAGATCGCAAAACACGCAACGGACGACGTAAGCAGAGGGAGGGAAAAGCGACTGCCACGTAAGCTGATGGGGCAGGTGCAGACCCCTTGGACGCAATATTGAGCTTAACGCGAGAGAAGATAGAGGAGGGACACGTGGCACTGCCTGGATACTGTACACGGTCCTGAGAGGACAGAAGACAGCACCACAACTTTAGCGCTGGGGTCGGACTTGCGGAACCGATGCGGAGGCGTGCTGTTGCCATGTGTATATGCATATACATCGTCAAACAGAGATATATTTTATATCATGGAAAAAAGAGGACAACTATTTCTTACTTCACTTCAGTTTTGAATCAGAAAAAACAAAAACAAAAAAAGGGTCCGAAACCCCCACGGAGCCTATCAAAAAGAAGGAAACGAAAAAAAAAGCTCGGGAACGCCTTTTATGACTGCCACGTCAGCCAGATTACGGATCTGACCGTTAGATGATCTCCTCGGTGGCAATCGTTTTCTTTCTTTTTTTGTCAGCGCCAATTAGTACCGAGGGATAACCGTCGATTAGCATCGATCCGTACCCTCTCTCTCTCTCTCTCTCTCTCTCTCTCTCTCTTCTGTGTGTGTGTGTGTGTGTGTGTGTGCATACATCATGTATGTTGTAACCGTCGATTCGAGCCGTAGAAAGGAGGGGCGGAGAGAGAGAGACAGAGAGAGAGGAAGGAACACACACACGTGAGGGCTTCAGCAAGTCCCCTCTCCTCCTTCAAATGGGGCCAGGTCCTACTCCAAAGAGGAGAGAATTCGACGCCCGAATCTGGACGTGTTTGTGGACAGATCCGGAAAAACGCCATTGATCTCCTGCTCTGCACCTGTCCACAAGCATGTCCAGTTCACCGGCCTCGTACGAACTTTTCGATTCGGGACCCGGCGGGTATTGAATTTTTGTTGCCGGCCTCCGAACCTCTTGGGCCGGTACCTTGAACCAAACCGCTGTCCGGTGAAGGGGCCCAACGTGTCACACCTGCGCCAGGTCTTTATCAGTCTGAACGGGCCCAAGCAAAACGGCAGACTGGGGCTAGGTCCCACTTACACGAATTAAGCCATATCGACCGTAGATAGCAAAGATCAACGGCCAGAATCTCTTAATCCGTGCAAGTGGGACCTTGCCCCGGTAACCCTTTGTGAACCGCGTCCAGATCTTTCTTTCTTTCCTTTTGCAGCCAGCCGAGAGGCCTGCATCTACTTCCCGTGTCCAGCAGGTTTCTTGGTCGCGTGGAAGAAGGGGAAAGCTTGAGGGCCTCGCTCCACTACTCTAGACTCGGGAGTTCGACTAGCGTTGTCAGAGAGGCGAGAGTCTCGAAATACTCTCCGTTGCTGCACTTACTCTAGAACCTGTTACACTAGGTGCACTCTTGAAGCCCCGACAAGTTTTGTATACGATACGGGACAACACTACGGGACAATGCCAGGCTCGTCTCGCCGCCGGGCCAGGAGGTCCACTCTCGAAAAACGAGCCAGTCGGCAGGCAACTCGTGAGCACGCTTGCAAATTCGTGTTTTGCAGGCGGGACTCTCGACGTTTCAAGAGTGGCGTTATAGTGTGCCTTTTGACAGCTCTCGACCGGGTTTCGAGAGTTTCTCGATCGCGACTAAGTGCAACGACGACCCATTCTCGAAACTTCAATAGTCTAGAGTAGTACAGCGAGACCCTGAGTCTACTTTCCATTTCCAGCAGGTTTCTTGGTACCGTGGGCGCGCCTGTCCGTCAAAGCGAGGTGAGCAACGCTTCTCGCTCTCTGTGCCTTTGTTGCAGCTTTCTTGATTCTTGGGCGATTGCTTGTCCAGTCTTCTCTCTCTCTCTCTCTCACGCCCCTACCTCTCTCTTTCTCTTTGCGTGTCAATATTTGTATATGATTTCTTTCCCTGTGTCAATTTAGTGACACGAATTGTTGTTTGTCGTTAGTGCATGCATGATTTGTCCCCTCTCTCTCTCTCTCTCTCTCTCTCTCTCTCTCTCTCTCTCTCTCTCTCTCTCTCTCTCTCTCTCTCTCTCTCTC